TGCTCATAGGGGGTCATATGATTGTTGGGGTTTTCTCTGTATCTATGAAGCACCTTGAGGTGACTTTTGTTGTGATTTGGCGCTATATAAATAAAATTGAATTGAATTGAACTTTAAACATTAATTCACCAAAAATATAGAAAATATCATGTTTCAAATGCAGTGACTTTGTAACTTAAAACTAACCTGATTCCTTTGTAAAGCTCTAAGCTCATATTAAATAAGAGTAAGTCAGTGTTGGTGTAGGGTGGAGGTTGGGGTGGAGGATTCTTCGCTGTGGTTTAGCTTCAGGTTTGGTTCTTTTCTGTGCAGAGAAACGTTTCTATATTCTCGTGGTCTCGTTATCAGGATAATGAAATCATTGCTCCATCTTCTCAGTGAGATCATATGTTTTAGCTGTAAGTGTAGCAGTCACATGTACAGTGAGGTGTAGGTGGTGCTGATGGAGGTGCAGCTTGTCAGAATAAAGCAACCTGTAACCGTCTGACTACACAATACAAAACGTGTGTCGTTACTTTGCCAGAAACATTTTGTGTTGTGAGTTTTTTCCTGTGAGTATTTCTGCACTGCTGCATCTGTACTTTGACCAAAGTGTGTCAGTACTCCCCCCCCCGACTCTCCCTCAGTCCCAGTAGCTGCAGTCAGACAGATGGTGGAGTGATACTGGAGGGACTGGAGAGGCCATCTTTCCTCTGACAGCTCTCAGCCTCGTCTGGCACTCAGAAAGACTCACGAGTGGCTCGCTGCGCTGTTCACGCTGCATATTCAGTCAGAGTGGAAGCAAACAGGCCGTCAGAGGGAGGTCACGTTTTTAGTTTCCCTCTCGCAGCGTCTAAAAATCTCAGATTCCTCAGGACGCGGTGTCATTTCCTGCAGCTCGTGCTGCACCCATCACGGCGTTCTCTCACCCATCACGGCGTTCTGCTCACCCATCACGGCGTTCTGCTCACCCATCACGGCGTTCTGCTCACCCATCACGGCGTTCTGCTGCACACGCTGAAGCGCACATGCAGCTCCTCGCTCTTCGCTGGGCTGAGCTCTTCTGTCTGACTCAGTTCATATAACCTCAAACCTTTATAAAGCCGTGATCCTTTTACCCAGCATGCTCGGGGAGCTGCGTTGCTGATGTGCGGTGACCAACACAGAGTTGGCGGCGTAGCTCTGACGTTTCCCCTGAAACTCAGCTCATCTCTTTGTGTGTTTTATTTTTTTGTAAATGGAAACGAGCTCGTCGCAGTCGTGGGTCTCGTCTCCGCTGACACCACAGTGTGTCTTCCACTTCCCGCAGCTCTCTGTGCAAACACAGCACATTAGGAGTAATCACGGCCTCGAGCCAATCACCAGAGCCCCGAGTCTGTTTCCTGTATTTGCTGGACTGCTTTTCATTTCGTTTCTGCTCTGCTTCATCCTTCCTCCTCTTTAATTCTC